TTTTTATTGTGCTTTTTGTTTCGCTTATTTCTGTATGGATTTACATTGTAATAATCGAAATGGTCAAACACACTTAAATTCTGTTGCCAATTTGACCCAAAAACGTTTAGAAAATTAAAATAAAAAAAAAATCAACAGATGCTTTTTTGTAGTTGTTTTATCATATTTTGTAATTTATTTACTTTTGTAATTTCTGTTTCTGTTCTTTTTATTGACGTACTGTAAAGATTGAAATAGAGCATAATTCTATGATAATACACTCAAATTCCAAGGCTTTCTTGATCCACAAACATTTACAATCTCAGTATTTACGCAGCCTTGACTTCATTTTCTCCTTATCTTCTGTTATAAACCGCGTCTGCAGCCACCCCTCAAGTCTTTACGACCATGAAAATGTCAATCGCGTGATTAAATATTTACGATTCCCGTTCAGGGTTGCCAACTATCCGCTCTCCAAATTGAATTATTAACAAAATGCAAATAGAAAGTGAACAAAGCTTCGAGGAGATGAGTCCTTACCTGGTCCTTTGGCGCCTCCGGACAAGAGACGACCTAAACGGAAAATAACGGCCCGTTCGTATTCCTGAACGACCTGAAAAGAGAAAAAACAATTAATTAAAATTTATCACATCATGATCAAAGTATTTCTCATCCAAAGTGCCGGTTTGTTCGAGTGTAAATAACGAAACTTGTTGGAGTTCTCCCTTTTCATATTTCGTTTGACCGAAAAAGATCGGATCAAGAGAGAATAACTCCGAATTCGCGGCTATGTAAGAGATAAGCTGTATCAAGTTTCGTTGGAATAAAATGAAATTCATCTAAATTGAATCTTGTAGTAACAAAGTGTCATTTTATAAGTAAGAAAATACAATTTGATACCGTGCTAAAATGAGGAAATTATGAAATGAGAAGTTCTCCATTTTCTCTTTTAAATAATATGGTGTCGTATTAAAAGATGCGTACGTAATTACTTTCAAGACGGCTGAACACTTTTATAAAATTCCTAATTCTACTTAATACCTTAGAGGTAAATTCCGAATTAATAACACTGAAAGATTTAAAGCCTACCTATTCGGGTGGAAAATTTTACCAAAAATATCGTCTAGGAAGTTTAAAGTTTGTAAACTCGTGTAATCCATTGTTAAAGGAATACTTTGAGTTGGTAATTTTACTTGAAATTGATATGGTTTTGTGTTATGACAGTGTCAATATTGTATGAAAATTCATCACAGTAATTACTTTAGTAAACTTAATTCAAAAATTCATACAAATTTTTTGATATTCTTAAAAAAAATTGAAAAACATAATTAAGTTTCTAAATCAAAGTTAAAATTGTTTGTTCAGATAATAATAATTCAGTAAAAGTTTTGAATCAAAATTGTTCTTATCCTTCCTAACTGGTTTTAAAATCCCATAAAATAAAATCAGAGTTCCATATCAATAAAAAAAGAAAATTGGTAAAGCCAATAACCGAGAAAAACCTAAAATACCTGTCAAGATGAATTCTCGTCGCTATAAAACCTAGCTGACAGCACAAACAATTAGGATTTCTATATATTTCAAGAATCCAGCTTGTTTGTTCATTTTCTTTAAGATTTACCAACAAAAAACGTAAACAGCACCGAGTAAACACAATCGAGTTTTTTCCTAACAACCCAATTATTTTAAATCAGATGTTTGTGTCATCTTTATTCTTAATTCGATTGATTAAACTGAAAATTTTACGATTCCATAACGCAAAATTGAATTGCAAATAAGACCATAAAATATTCAATGAAACTGCATTTGCACATTTGCTTTACGAAAAAGTATGCGATTTCATGAAGCACTTAAAAAATTAAAAATTTACAAACTCACTTATCCAGATTGAATCAGTACAGATTTAATCGCCACCTACAATAAAATCACCGGAAACGCAATAGTGAGACATTTCGCAATTTCACCGATTGTTACTAAACTAACTGTCCATTTAATTTGTGTTACATTTACAGTTTGGTCATCTTGAAATGCGTTTCAAGCCTGAGGTAACTCATTTTACTCCAAATTTCAAATAATAAACAGCATTACACAGGACGAAAAAAAAAGTCATGTCGTGACAACTTGACAAATTATATATTATTTTGTTCATTTCAGTGAGACAAATCTAATACACTAAAAGAAATTTCACAAAGTTCATACATTTTGAAGCAAATATTGTTTTTCTAATTTAAATGAATTTAAAATACTTTAATTTTTAAAAATCATTACTCAATAACTATTAGGCCGATTTCCTTCAAATAAAGACCATTCTAAAGGGATGGACTTGCCCTTTAGAATGATATAAAATTTGAAATTGAATATTGGCAAACTTTTCTTCGAACAGTGTTCGAAGAAGTTCGAAGTATTCTAAGAAAAACTCTACGAGTATTTTTTTTTCTTTGTCACCATCGTCTAGAGCATCTTTTTATTAGTTAGAATCCAAATTTTTAAAATCATATACCGAGTAGTTTTCAAGATATGATTTTTTGAAGTTAATGTTTGCTATTCAGACATTGCGCCATATAGGAGAAATGCATGTTAATCTTACTTAGAATTGCATTTTTATAAAAATATTTGTTTTGAGACTCTTCTTTTGCTTAAAAATGGTCAATTGCACCTTCTTTGTTCTAATTAGAACAAACAAAAACTGTTTCTTTACTTAAAACAAACAAAGAGTACCTGCGTACTAATTAAAGCAAAAAAGCTTTTTTGTTCTAAAAATGACCACTGATCATTAAGCAAAAAGTATCTAGAAGTTTAAAACAGTAGGCTTGAATATAAGAGCAAATCTTTTTCAAATCAAATCATTTTCCATTCAGATTCCAACTTTGTTCTAGCTTTCTTAACTTTTTTTGAAAATATTCTCAGCGAATGCTTTCTCATCACTTTCTAGTGAATTTGTTAAGCTGTCACGACATGACTTTTTTTGTCGCCCTGTGTTATTAGTGAAACACCTCACACTGTTCGAGACAATACTCGACAATTAATTAAAGACTTAAACGTACAAGTATGAGACATGTAGTAACAACCGAACGACTCCTAAGCCTTAAATTAATGTTCCCTGAAACATCCCGATGACATTCTCATCCCAGCTTTCAGTATTAATAGCCATTGTTTGCTTTTTAAGTTCTCACCGTTTCAATAACGATTTTAGGCGACAAAATATTTCAAACAGCCCACTTAAAGACAAAAACGCGTGTTTTTAATCAGGCGATGCTTTATTTTCATTAAGATTATTGCGCCTCGGTTTCGTTTAATTATTCGTATTTATCTTGTAAGACAAAACCTCGACATGACAGGGCGATTTTTTTACTTTTCCGCTTGAAACTCGATAGAAAAACTAACAAATGATGCCGGAGGGAAGAAACGATCGACGCAATAAAAGCTTTCATGATTAAATTTTGCGAAAGTTTCACTTATTTCGTAATTTTGTGTTAATTAAAAAGCAGGAAAACGCCAAGTTTTATTTACGGTGAGTTGATTAGGTATTATTTTCAGAAAAAAACTGAGGGGATAATAAGACTTTTAACATTTTATTTATGCGAGAGAAAATAGAATGAAATATTTACAAGCGTTTAGAGGTCTCGCATTTTCCGTCTGTTTGTTTAAAATATTCCTGAGAACTTGCTATTTGGATATAGAGTCATTCTTGATTATGTCTCAAACAAGTGCATGTTTGCGGATGACATTAAATTTAGCAAACAGAGTCAAAACGCTGCGAGCAGAAGTTTCAGATTAAGTTGTCAAAACTGCAAGCGCAAAGAGCGCAAAGCTTGTAATGCATTTTTTAATCACATTAAAGAGAAAAACATTTACAATTTTGATGATTGCTATTTATTTTATTAGTATATTAAGTTTCATTAATAACTACATTAAAGTCCATTCGAGCAAGAATTTGAAATTCCGATACAAGCCGCGTAGCGGCGAGTTGAAGAACAAACGATTCTGTAACGAGTATTTTATATCATTTTTATTACCTTGTGTTTTATATAAAAAACTTATCATTGTGCTTAATGGCAATAAATTCTCAAGATTTTTCATGTACGCCCTCGGAAATTAGAAAAATTGTCAGCATCATTGGAAACATAAAATACACTAGACAATTAACGCACTCGTTAATAATATTCTTAAAGACGTAAAATAGAAAAATTAATTTAAAACGTTCTAAAACTTTTATGATTTAATTATTATTTAGTCGTTTGAACTATAACTTTAAAATCATTTTAATATTTATATCATTTCCAATTTTATTGTGCAAAAATAAAAATTTTGTAAAAAAAATAGT